AAAAAGAAATGAGCTACCTGGCCATGGAAAGATACGTAAAGGAAACTTAAATGCCTATTACCAGGTGAAAGAGGGCAATCTGAAAATGTTGCAAACAATATGACCCCAACCGGAATCATTCTGGAAAAGGAAAAACAAAACAAAACAAAGCCTTGGAGACAGTAAAGAGATGCACGGTTGCCAGGAGTCAATGGAAAGGGGGGTGAATAGGCAGAGCACAAAGGACATTTAAGGCAGTGAAAATACTCTGTATGGTACCAGAGTGGGGGACACATACATTTGTCCAAACCCATAGAATGTACAACTCTAAGGATGAACCCTAATGTACTATGGGCTTTGGGTGATAATGATGTGTCACTGTAGGTTCATCATCTCTAACAAATGCACCACTCTGGTGAGGGGTGTTGATAATGGGAGAGGTTATGCATGTGTGCGGGAGCAGGAGAATCTCTCTACCTTCCTCTCACTTTTGCTGTGAACCTAAAACTGCTCTTTAAAAAAGAATTAAGTCTTTTTGTTTTAAATCAAAGTGTGACCTCCCCTTTTGAGCCTCAGGCCCTAGGCCAAATGGCCTGCTCACCCCCACCCTCTCTTGTAAGATCTGTGCATGTTCCCATACAAATCATCCCCCAGAAAGCCTGTGTAGCAGAAATGTGGACAAAGTACTGTTTCTCAGTAATTTCAAGAACATAAAGCAATGGGATTACACATCACTCATTGGCATGACATTTTGGAAAGCTAGGCTTCCATTACTCCTGTGGCCATCCTTGGACCCAAGAGTTCACAGGACCTGAACCAAGAGGTAGCAATCAGTGTTGGGGACATGAAGTATTTGCTGCCCTGGGAGGGTGGGAAGCTAGCCTCCACTAGTACTCCAAAGAAAGTCTGTCATCATCTTCTGTCCTTGGTTTATTCTTCATGGAAACCAACCACGAAAGACCTCAGTTCACTGTGGCAATGGATTTGGTGGTCCACAAGTTTTGGGGAAAGCTACACTGTGATCACCTAACTCTAGCACCCCAGTTATCTGTAAGAATTTTCTCGGGGACCTGTACCGAGGAGAGAGGGCCTTGAGCATTCCTTGCCCGCCCAGCACAGAAGGCTTAAGTTAAAATCCTTGGAAACTTTCACACAATCAATGAAGCTCTTTTGAAGCCCAAACTGTGTGTCTAACATGGGCTAGGTACTGGGAGAGAAGGGGCATTTCCCAAAAATGCGTAAGACATGGTCCCTAACCTCAAATACACTGGGCATTACAAACCAAATACATATCATTTTATGAAACAGGTGATGGGGGAAGAGAAAGGGAAGGAGAGAGAGGGGGAGGGAGGAGAGAGAGAGAAACCATTATGTCGGAGGTTCTTCAGAGTCTAAGTGCAGAGTATTTTGTAAAGGCCTGTGTAGCTACTTAAGCTCAAGGTTCGTAGAGTATAAAAACTCTTCCAGGAAAAAGTGGGGCTTAAGCCAGATTTATTTTTGTGTCCCTGTAACCACCGTTCTCCTCAAAATATACTTGCTTCCACCCACCTCCACATGAATCCAGTAGAATCTACCTCTCAAACATTGTCTTAGCAACCTGCTTCCTGATTAACGCTAACAAGCCAAACAGGCCCGCATGAATAGTGAGGCTGAGACTCAGACCTCTGGCTCTGGGCTGTTTTTATACCACCACAGAGTTTCAAGGTCAAAAGGGACTGTAGATCTCACCTAGTCCAAACTCTCTTCCGCTGCTTAGGAAAGAGACATCTGAAGACACGTTCTCCAAACTTCCTAGCATGGTAAACCCGGTAGCTGTGGAAGCCCGGCCAATAAAATCAGCCTTGTGCCCATGAAGAAGCAGGAGATGTTAGGACACAAAGCACACCTGAACAATCTCACTGGCATGAGCAGAAGACAATCACCTCAAAGATTCAAGCCGCCATAGCTCCAAGTTTTGTAACAGGGGGCCACATAGTGAATTACCCTTTCAACCAACCTTCAAGGGTCACCAGACCAGCCATATTGCAGTCATCAAGGCTAAATTTCCAAGTCAGTTTGGAGTTTAGGTAGTTCATACCCAAACTAGCTCCAGCCCAACCAAGAAATCCTTGAGGGTAAGGATTGAGCCTCATTCATTTGTGCATCTCGAGGCCTGGTACGATGCCTCACGCTCCGTGGACAGCTCAGCGTGGTTTTGCTGAATCGAACTGAAATGCCCACATTCAATTATTATACTGAATAATACAGAATGAGTTATCATGAGTGAGAGCAATATCTGGTACAGAAAACGTGACCATAGCTGGAAAGGAATGATGAGTAAACCAGCTGCCCACCTCAACTCCCCAGCCACCTTGGGAATCCCTCAGTCCCGAGACAAATAGCCATTCATAAATACAATGAGATAAAGATACTGATTCCATCTGGAAACAATATTATCATAATATTAACATAGAATAATCGTAATATTAGAACAATTAAGTTACGATCACAAAGTATAGAAATGGGATTTGGTTTCTTTGGAATAAGTAGAAATTGAGCTGGGTTTCAAAGAATGGGTGAGATTTTGTATCAATATTTAGAGAGGGTGAAAAAGGGAGGAAATGTGAGAAGATACTGTCCAAAGGGTAGGAAGAGAACAAGGACAGAGTGATGTCACGGCGGCCAAGAGGAGGTAGGGCTTCAGAGAGGGAATTGAAAGAGTTTTGATGGCAACAGATGCAGTAAAACTGATAAGGGCCGAACTTCCCATTGAATTCACCCAACAGGAGGCCAGAGTTGACTTTAGCAGGAGTCGTATGAATAGCTAGGACAGCAGCCAGACTGCAGTGGCCAGAACGGGAATGATATGCAGAGGCCCCAAGAGAAGACCTGCTCTTAGGTCACTTAGTGAAAATAGCCCGAGTGCGTGCAGAGCAGAATTAAGGAGGGTTCTGTACAACGAGAGAACCTTGAACTTCTGCAGAGGGGACGTGGCAGGAGCAACGTCTTGCACTGGGGATGCAAGAGAAAGAGAAACAGTGTGGAGGGAGAGGGGTTTGCCTGCAGAAGAGGAAAGAACATACACACAAAACATCCCGCACACTGGCAACCGTCGTCTTCCCATAGCCTAGGCACAGATTTTCAAGAAAAAAAAATTAGTTTCGTATTTTTTGCCTTTTAAAGAATGGCAAGACAACAAAACTCACAGCGAGGACATACTCTGTATCAGGCTTTGTACTAGATGATTTGACACTTACTCGATCATTATAAAACACGTCTCAGAGGCTCAGCTGACTATGGAGGGGAGATGCCAGCCGGGTGATATCTGGTCACGGTTCTGAGACTGGAGCTCAGGCCATCATTTATGCCCGTGTGGAAGGGCCCTGGCCGACCTGCCAGGCCGCTGCCATCTGCACGCTGACCATTCCGGGATGGCAAAGGAGAGAACAACTGAGCCCCTGGCATTTCCCCAGTGACCTCCTTCTCCATTAGTGAGCTTCTAAGGGAGGCAACTCCGTCACAAAATATTATCCTCTTTCATCTTGTAGAGGAAAATAAAATACCCTCAGGTAGGCATTCATAACCGGCTTATTCGCTGAACCTTTGTGAAGCACCTGTTATGTGCTAGGCGGTACCACTTTGCTTTGGCCGCATGACAGTTCACCCCCAAACGGAAAGCACGTATTACTTCTCATGAGATTCACGCCCAGGGAAAAATCAGGGATTTTGCTGAAAGAATGAGTGAGTACTGCTACAAAGGTAAGAGTGGCCGTTTCTGCTTGGGGAGCTCCGGGAAGGCTCTGCAAAAAGAAGCATTTGATGGAGGTCGCAGACCTCAGATCTGGGGTATGAGCTCATCGGGCAAAGAAGGAAAGGGGGTGGCACGTTTGAAGAAACACAACAGCAGGCCAAGTGCAGAGCAATGGAAACCACAGGGGGAGTCTGGGTAAACTGTCCAGGAACATGGGAGGAGGACGCAGGGTCGCAGAGGACACAGGAGAAGTTGGAAAAGTCCCATCCTGAGGGATGGTAAGCAATGCCAGGGTCATCTTTGAACGAAGGGACAGATGGTGGAGAAGAGGCAACATTTTTGAGAACCGTTTTGAAGTTGATTGACATTTGGTTGCAGAAAGTCAGTGGGTGGGGTGCGGGGGGGACAAATCCCAGGTTTCGTCCCGTGTTAGTAGACGGACAGTAGGGCTGTTCGTCAGGAGAGAGATACAGGAAGAGACGAACAGGAATAACAGTGAATTTGTGGTGTCTCTGGGACATCCTAGAATGGCTGCTCACTGGCTGGTTGTAGAGATTGGTTGGGAGTCCAGAAAAGAAAGTTCTGGGCTGAGAATTTGATTTGCAAGCTGTCAGCGTAGGTAGTGCTTTAGGGCTATTCAAAAGAACGGAGATCTTAATCATGGATCATCCCAGCTGGCCAAAAAAAAAAAAAAAAGAAGAAGAGGAAGAAAGTAATTTCTTCTTTAAAAAACGAACAATCATTTTCAAATTCATTCTCTCCCAACAAAGGAATTAGCCAAGGGTCTGTTTCGAGACCAAACAAAAAGGGGGAAGGGATCATCTTTCTACATGAACGCAATGGGTAATTCATGAGGCTCTGAAAAATACAGCTGCAGCTTTGCCAATAATTTCCTGTGCCTGTGTAAACAGTGCCATGTTCTCTGAAGCTTTCTCCTTCTTTAAGAAGGTAAACTTTGCTTTGCCAATCATAGAGGCAGAACAATGTACTCAGTCTCCAAGTTCTTTTAGAAGAGTCTTCAGATATTAAACGCTGTCGTCCTTTGGTTACTTCTTCACTGGAGAGCTGGATTAGGAACACGGTAAGTACAAGTGGCCAGAGCTGTCATTACTGTGTAGCCGGTTAAGAGTGAGAAGGGGGAGGAAGGTGAATCCCCGCAGCAGATTCTCCCCCATCCCACCCCCAAGCATTTCCCTGCATTGTAGTAACCGTTTGCTACTGTTGAGGAATATTTCGCCACTCCACCAAAAAAGAAAAACAGACGCAGTTAAGTTTGCCATCAAGTCCATTGGGGGGACCCTGGACACTAAATCCTCTCTTAGAAAATCGCAAGAGTGGAGAAACCTGTTGAGGTAAGGGGGTGCTTCCCCAAGGAAACTTCATTTCGCAGAGCTCTAATTAGGATCTTAGGGTCTTACCCGACACCTACACGCATTTTGGGAAACACCGTCTCTGGGGCATTGAGCCCCTGGCTCTGCAGAATCACCTGGGCTTCCCTCCTGGCATTTCTGTCAGGGCTGACGTGGGTTTGTAAAACCAGGCGGCACATTTTCCCATCTCCACAGACCTGGGGACAGGATCTCAGCTCTGGGCAGTCTCTCCCAATTTAAATTCTGAATTTGAGTGGTCAAAACAGCTGCCTCCCCTCCCCCAAACCTGCCGGGCTCTGGGAGGGATTCCTATTGAAGAGGAAATCCACCATTTCCTGCCCTAGCAGCGCCTCTGCTCAAGTGGGCCTTTGACCTGCTGAATTGGGGGTCTGTCTCTGGGATTTTTCCAGGACACAGGGAAAAACTCCTCTTAGAAAAGTCTCTTTGTCCTTAAGCAGCGCACCTCTAGGGGAAAACAAAAAATGAACACAGTCAGATTTTTGTAGCCTTATTTTCCATTTTATTCCATATATCGAGTCAATGAGAAGCGCTCTTTAAAAAAAAAAAAAAAAAAAAAAGGCAAAATCCAGCTCAGGAAAATTAAAAATTTTTATGACAGCTTTTTTTTTTTTTTTTTTTTAGATATTATATCCTCTTCCCCATCAGGAAATGCAACATCTGCGTGTGCTCTTAAGGGTTCTCTTTTTTATTTCCTCATCGCCACAGATTTTCATTTCTGGCTAAAATGTCAGACACTATAAACTTGCACGTACCTCTGAACTAACTTTGTGTAAGATGAGACCAGGGGAGCTGAGGGGAAGTGCTTTTAAAAAACGGAAAGGTGGGAGGAATTGAGAAGGGGATGTAGACTAGTATCAAAGTTTAGCCATGACAAATAAACACGGAGATAAATAAGCAAATATGTCAAGGCTCTGACTTCCTGAGAAGATTCCAGGTGCTGGGGAAGGTCGTGGGAAGAGAGAAATGCAGCGAATCAGTGAATGAGGGTGGGGGGTAGAGGGGGGGCACCTGCAAATACTTGTATGGAGTTCTGACTTTTCATCTCACTTACATCGTGCAAAATCATTAGACGGCAACATTTGCTTGCATCATTTCCTCATGTGCAAAGTGGAGACTGGGGAATCATCTCTCGTCTTTCTTCTTGGGTCTTTGACTTCTTCCTTCAACCCACACTATATCATTGGCTCTGTGCTCAGGCCCGGATGCTACCTTCCAGGCTCACCTAGACTTCCCAAGCCATTGGAGGCCCCAGTGGAGGAGGGAAGGTTGGCTGAGCCACTCAGTTTAGGAAGACCTTTCTCAAGGCACATGCAAGTATGTAGGATTTATATTGATGGCACTCAGCTTCAAGTCATCAACAACGTGGATTAAATACAAAGAAATCTAGAGGGAAGCGGCTGCTGGTTTTGGTTTTGTGTCTTGACAAAATCTGATGTCTGCAATGTTTATAGACTTCCTCTTATGGTCATAAAATGATCGCCTCTACTGTAGACATCGCGTCTGCATTCAGTCTTTCTTTTTGGGTCTAAGAAAGAGAAGGCGGTAGGTCTGATATATCTTTCCCTTTTACCAGGAAAGCAATATTTCCCAGAAGCCCCCAACAAGTTTTGACTTATAATCCATTGGCCAAATCCATGTGACATAGACATTCCTAGCTTCAAGGGCTCTGGAAAAGAGGGTGTTAAGATTTCCCAACCTTCCAAGTGGGCCACAAGAAGACTGAGTAGGTCTATTGACTTAGCCAATTATCCATTAATTTTATTATTGCTGGATGTTCCTTCCAAAAATTCGATCAAGGGGCCCATCATGAAACTAGTAAGACCACATTCGGCACATCACTTCACATGACCACTGGTAGTTGAGCTGTGGTATGAGTGAGCTAATAACTTTATTCCCATTTAAAATAAAAGCTTTTAAAGTGGTTTAATTTTTTTCAGGACCACTCATGTCTTCCCAAAACCCTCAAGTGTCTTTGGTTTACATCAAAGTCCTATCTAATTTTCTCCCAAGAGGAAACCTACCACAATAGTAAAGTTGTATATTTCCACCGGGATTTTCCCTAAACTGTTAATGAGTTGTGACTTCCTTATATGTACATGCAGACGAGACTGGTGCACTCCAAGCAGGTAGACAGAATTTGAACCAGATGGTTCAAGGAAAGGAAACTGGATTAGCAGATCATTTCAAACACCTCCATGTGTTGACTGAAATCCATAAGGGGAATGACAAAACATGTACCTTATTTTCTCAACAAACTGTGCACCATATTGAATGTTAAACATTATATTGAGGGAGGTGTCGAGCAAGCTCTGGTTTTCCTTTCCTTGTCACTAGAACCATAAGCCTCGTTTTGCCTAATTAATGTATACAGAGGGGAAAAAAGCAAGCAAGCAAGAGACACGGGGCTGCTTCATAAACTCATACCGCCGAGAGACCCCATGGTAATCCTCTAGCAATGGCATTTGAATAAATTGGAGGTGGCAAGGGTGTGTCTAATTTCCATGAGTTCCTGTATGGAAAGCAAATCCCATTTTGCCTGATTTTCCAGTTTAAACAATAAACAGTAAGAGTCTCTCATCCCCACCCTTAAACCAACTTCATTGAAACTAGGGCTGATGCAAATTAAGGCACTTCCCAGTACTCAGGCCCCCAAGCCCCTACCCCCAGTTTAATTAAAGCCTAATTTGGTTGAGGAGTAAACTGGTATTTACAAATCAGGAGAAAATCTGGTTCCAGTAATTAAAGGGATTTTCTAAATCTTGTCCTCCGTGTTAGAACACCCGTTTTAATAGTTAATTAAAGACTCCTTAACCATCCTTTGAAGGAAATTTGAAAAAGAAAGATTAGGGACCTGCCACAAAGACATTTCTGACAATAGGGACTGAAATTCTTTGTTAGGCCCTTTAGGGAAAACTAAGGTCTTCATTTACCTAAAACACTTTGGGTATGCAAACTTTTTTTTTTTTTTCTTTTAAGAAAAGGAGATACTTATTTGCCTTTGCAAATAAGTATAATTTGTGGGTAGCCTTGCAAATTTTACAGCTGTTCCACAAATCTAAGCCAGCTTGCAATCACCAGCATACCGCCGCCATTACAGTTAAGGTGGATTGGGGGCACAGCCATCTTGCTCTTTTGGTCTCTCAGGCTACAGCTGGTATGTCAAAATATCCAACTCCTCAGGCCAGGGGGCTCCCCAGGCACAAGGAAGAGAAACATTCCTTCTTGGAGATTCCACACCCTTCTCATATTCGAAATGGGTTTAAACCATTTAAATTGACCAATTGACCAACATTTAACCAGCCTTGTGCTAGGTGCTAGGAGGAATACAGTTGAATACAGTTGAATACGGTCATGGCTGCTCAGGGACTTGACTGTAATTCAGAAGACAAACACTTGTCCAGATATTGCTAATGGGAGACACAGAAGATATGCGGGAGGTACAAAGGACAACATGAGAATGGGAGAAGGGAGAGAGACTGAATGAGCAGCCCTTCTGAAGGTGTGAGTCAAGCTCTTTCTTAATAGGTAGGGAGAAGCAGATGTCTGGAAAATAACAGTGCCTAACAAAGAGAACTAGGAAACGGAGGCAGGAAAGGGCAATGCACATTCCAGAAAGAGTCTGGAGATCCCTGGGGCTGGAGTCCAGGGTTCTTAGGGCCTGGGGCTGCGAGCAGGAAAAGAAAGCGTGAGGTCAGCAAAGACCATATTGTGGAGAAGCTTCCTGCCCTGGTCAAGACATTTGTTTCATTCCATGGAGAAAAAGGTTTTGTGGGGATGGAAGTAACTGGTTAGGGGACAAAACGAGACTTGTAAGAGACCAGTTCAGGTGTTACTGCCAAACGCTGTGGTAACAGCACCCAAAAGTGTGCTCTAAGGCAAGAGGTCTACAAAGCAACACTTATACCCCTAGAGACCCACAGACTTTCCAGGGGGTATAGATGCTAAATAAACCATCTGAAGGGAATCAGTTTCTAGATCTTCATCTCCTCTATGTCCTCTATGCTTTTTTTTTTTTTTTTTTTTTTGGTGTCCTATATGTTCTATACGTCCTTTTCTGAAACTGTCTGATAGCCCAAATCACACTTGAAAAAGAAAGACATACCCTTCTCTTAAGCCAGATCTTTTATGGTGAGCTAATCATTCATCAAGTCACCTTAAACATAGGGGCTTCCTGTCTTGTCATCTCAGTTCCTTCTGTTAAGAATGAAATGTGTGGGAATGCAAGCTGGTGCAGCCACTCTGGAAAACAGTATGGAGGTTCCTCAAGAAACTAAAAATAGAACTACCCTACCACCCAGCAATTGCACTACGAGGCATTTATCCAAGGGATACAGGTGTGCTGTTTCGAAGGGACACATGCACCCCCATGTTTATAGCAGCACTACCCACAATAGCCAAAGTGTGGAAAGAGCCCAAATGTCCATCGATGGATGGATAAAGAAGATGTGGTATGTATATACAATGGAGTATTACTCGGCAATCAAAAAGAATGAAATCTTGCCATGTGCAACTACGTGGATGGAACTGGAGGGTATGATGCTAAGTGAAATTAGTCAGAGACAAAAATCATATGACTTCACTCATATGAGGACTTTAAGAGGCAAAGCAGATGAACCTAAGGGAAGGGAAAAATAATGTAAAAACAGGAAGGGGGACAACAGAAGAGACTCATAAATATGGGGAACAAACTGAGGGTTACTGGAGGGATTGTGGGAGGGGGGATGGGCTAAATGGGTAAGGGGCATTAAGGAATCTACTCCTGAAATCATTGTTGCACTATATGCTAACTAATTTGGATGTAAATTTTAAAAAATAAAAAATAAAATTTAAAAAAAAAAACAGAATGAAATTTGACCTGTGTGGGAGGTTCTGACTTCAGAAAAATCAATGCAGTATAGAGTAATGACATTGATCACGCAAATGTTTTTGGAATGTTTCCTAGAATTATCAACTTTTTAAAGATGAAACCCACAAGCAGGGATTCTTTTCAAATTCTTTCTGATTCAAGCAGCGTTTCAGGAAGTCACCTAAAATCTATTTTCTCAAACCTGTCATAAAATATTTCTTTTAATTACAGTCAGTTCTCATCTTATTTCAAATTATAACATATTTAATGTTTTCTACCTCCTGGTTACAAAGAGTGTACTTCTTTATTTTTTTTTTTTTTACTTTTTTTTTTAAGTTTATTTATTTATTTTGAGAGTGAGAGAGAAATCGGGGGAGGGGCAGAGGGGGAGAGAGAATCCCAAGCAGGCTCCGCAATGTCAGCATAGAGCCTGACGCGAGGCTTGATCCCAAAAACCGGCTCCGTCCCACAAACCATGAGATCACAACATGAACCAAAACCAAGCGTTGGATGCTTAACCAACTGAGCCATCCAGGCTGCCCCAAGAATGTACTTCTGTAAATCCAGGATGAAAGTTTTAGATGTTAACTCTAGCAGAGAGTACGTAGTTTTTGAAGAATCGTTTGGGAGTGCCCAGGCAAACAAATGAGTTTTTAGAAACCCCGTTTCTTTGGGATGTCATCCTGAGTTGGGAAGGCAGACAAAGTCGAGGGGAGGTTGGTTTCTGTGGTAAAGTTAAGTTTCAGAAATGCTGAGTTGAGATGGAGCAGGCCTCAGCTACTTTTAATATGCAAATGGTGTTAAGATTCTCTGCGCAGCTGTAGTACTCAGTTTCTCCCAAGTGTTGGCCAGAGGAGAGGTGCAGTGCCACGGGGTAACCTGAGAGCACTTCAAAGCTCCCCCTCAATAATCTCCATCACTACAACCTCCCTTAGCCACCACCCCTAAAATGTAAACTGAGTAAAAACAGTATCAGTGCTATAAACATGAGCTTCGGGTAATGTTCTGGAGCCTGTCCAGATGCGCCCCCGCTAGCAATTTGGGCATA